AAAACCCCAAAACCCCAAAACCCCGTTAGAATAGAATATTCATCATATCTTTAATATTATATTAAATAATTAAGAGGTTTAAAAATAGATTATTAATTTAAGGAAAAGATGAGCAAATATAAAATAGCTTTCATCATATCAACGTTTTTGTGTAGCATTCATTACTTGGTTGAAGGTTAATGCTTTGATACTAAGAAGTATCCTCGTGGATTTGGGGATAACTTTGGATTCAGTCTTGCATAGGAGATTGATGTTGATGATAGTTTTAACATCATTACTGGAGGATTAACTGGATCTACCTAAGTTGGATTATTGACACCTGATGAATACTATATGCATTTTCAGTTTATTAGCTCAGATGGTAGCAATGACTGGGTTAGAATTTATAATTAGCCCAAATTTACATATTTAAACAATCTTGTATTTTAAAAGGGGGTACATAAAGCAGACTATGCTGCAGCAATAATCTACGGTTCTGATTCTCTAGATTATATAATGCATTTATTACTAATCAGAATTTCAGATGGGACTTTAGTTAGTTCATACAAAGATTATACTTATTTTGGACAGTATAAATGGTAATAATCAGGTTTCAAATCTGTACTACTTGATTCATCAAACAATTTATATCTCGGAAGCCATGTAATTCAAGATGGAATAACAAAGATTACTAAAATAGATATGTCAAGTACATCTTAAACTAACACACCACTATGGAATTATGCTTTAACTATTTCAGATTCTTACCAAGTCACAGAGGTAACTGCTTTAGATTTAGGTAACTACGAAAACAATCTTTTTGTGGCATCATATTTTAAAATTACGGAAGCAAGATAAGAATTTTACCCTACTATCTCTCGTTTTAACGCACATAATGGCATTCATGAATACAGCTTCTCTCAATTGTTAACGAAAGAATGGTCTTATTCTATGGGGTAAATCCAAATAATAAATATGATCAATATTGGTAGCGATGATATCTTCTTTGGCTGTCAGGAAATTGCATATTTTCATTATCCTATGGAGTTTAGAGTATCTCTCTTTCGTTTAATTGTTGCCTAGGATTTTTCGATTAGTTCGTATAATAAATTCCATTTTGAGGAGGGACTTAATTGTATTGATCTTTTGGTTTATTCATAATAGGATTTCTATACATTGGTTTATAACTATGATACCTATAAGTATTACTTGATTTTTATAAATGGCATATAGAATGACGTTGATAGTCAGATTACCAAAAAAGAGTTTTTTTATTAAGGTTTTGACATGTATGCAAATATTCTATTCAATGGAGGAGCTATATTGCCAGATTATAATGTTTTATACTTTAACAGTCTTATACTTAATAAAATTTCATCCGAAAAGTTTTTCGCTCTTTACGTACCGATGGAAACCTCTTAATCATGTTTAGTGTAGGATGAAGCTGTCACTACTAATTTTAATATGTAATCGATAACAACCTCTGACTTTAGTACATATTTAACGGTTTAGACTGAACCTACTTCTTTGGATCTATATCTTGTCACTACAGCAAATCTTGAAGTAGTTGATAACTCACTATTTAATGTATATTCTGGATAAATTTGTGACTCAATAGCAACCATTTAAAGAACTTCAGATTCCATTAGCACTGTATATCTTATGTAATTAGGAGATTATAATGAAGATATATCGATTTATTTTTCAGGAGACGAATTGTGCTATGATAGGGATAGAACTTACACATTAATTCCTTTAAGCAATTAAAATCTACCGTTTCAACTAGATGGTTCAAACTTAGTTCTCTCAAGCTAGAATTTCTAAGAATAAACAAGTACATTTAATTTAAAGTGTCAGTTTCCTGATAAGTAAGCCCTTACTACTCCATTAACTATCTAATTAATTGATTGTACATCAAACTACTTAACCATTTCATTGGCTGATATAGTATACACTATTGGAAATGTTCAGGCTAGCATTGATATTACTTAAGTGACCATGAAAGAATACTGTGATCCTCCTATTGATATTTAGTCTTCAACTTTACCTTCAACTTCGGCTATTTCTTTTGATGGTACCAATGTTAATATATACTCAACTGATGGCACATAAATAGGAGAGTATTAAGTTGAAGTAGTATACTATAATTAGTATGATCCAAACCTTTTTAATTAAGCAAGTTTCAAAGTCACAGTCTAATGCACATTGACGAAAACTTAATCTTATACTGGCTAAAGCAGCTACACTTATACAGTTGGTACAGGATCAAGCAGTATAGACCTCAGTAGTTCCTTAGTTTATTCTAATAATTGTGGTTACACAACAACTATTTCTGCTTATTTATAAAATTCTGATACAACTTTGACTATTTTACCCTCATTTATTACTTTTAATCAGGCCACATAGATATTTACAATTAGTTCAACAAATAATAACGACGCTGGAAGTATTACTATAGTAATTAAAGCTAATTTAAATGATTAAGCATTAACGGAGTACGATTCAGTAAGCTTTTAACTAGAAATAATTCAAGAGATTACAACTACTACAACAACATCAACTACAACGACAACAACTACAACAACTACTACTACCACAACTACAACGACCACATCAACAACTACCACTACTACGGAACCTACAACTACTACAACAACGACAACCACATCAACTACTACTCCAGAACCTATCACAACAACAACAACCACAACAACTACTACTACTCCAGAACCTACAACAACAACCACATCAACTACTACCCCAGAACCTACTACAACTACAACAACAACAACCACATCAACTACTACCCCAGAACCTATAACAACAACAACAACAACAACCACAACTACTACTACTCCAGAACCATTGACAACTACTACAACAACTACGACTACTCCAGTACCTATTACAACGACAACAACTACTACCACACCAGAACCATTGACAACAACTACAACAACCACAACTTAAGCTCCGCTCTCAAGCACATCTACTACTTCACAGGCCCCAGTTAAGCAGGAGTTAAGCTAATTCCAGGCATCTTTAATAAATATAAATTAAGAAGGTTAAGTAGATATTTCTTTAAGTTCTAAAGTCACATTTAATAGTACAGTAGGCCAATTTATTGAATTAGAGGTCTAAACATTCTTGATTTAAAATGATATTGAAATCAGACAAGATTGGACATTATATAAGTTAGAAGATAAATAGATTAGTATAGTAATTAACTTTGATTATCCATACACAATTTCAATAGATGATGTAATTTGTATCATAATTAACATTTTATTAGTCTAAAGATTATCTAAAAGTGAACTTATTTTATAGAGATCAAAATTAAGAGCTAATTGACATGCCAGTTTATGGAGGTGTTTCTACACTTATTAGGGAACTACCAAAATAGTTGAATACAAGTATATAATCATTATATTAATCATTACTAGATGATGCTATTTTTGTTGAGAATGCTGGTAAAAATATTCGAAATGTAGTAGAAGCTACTATCTATTCAAACTTAGTTTCCTCTTCTTTAATGTAAATTTGATAATCATAAAATTTTAATTAGATTGTCTGGTTCAGGAGTTATTTGGTCCTTAGTTCATAATATTTAGCAAGTTTCTAATCTCCCATTGTATGATGTTGAAATGACTTAAAATGCCAATTATTTCACATAATATCTTAGAGACTTTAATACTTTTAATATCATTCCCTCACTATCTGGGACACAGGATTAAACTATTGTGGGTAGCAGTAGATTATTGGAAGAAATAAGAGAAGATAATTTTATTTTATCGAAATTAAAATAAATAGGTTATAATAGTGAATAGTTATTTGTTCAATTGTAAGGAATACTGCTTTTAGCTGCTTTTGGAATAATATTAATTTCTATACATTAAGTAGTATTGTTAATTCTGAGGATAAGTTGTAAAATTAAAGGTCAAAATTAAAAATCTTAGATATTTCTGATTTATTCTAAAGTTTTTGCAGGCTTATATTATTCATGGTTTGTCAGACTTTTTATAGAAGGATATTTAATAGCTTCAGTCATGGTGTTTTACATTCTAAAATATAAAACTGACCCAAAGACCTCAGAAGATAAATTCAATATTTCTTTTGCAGCATTTACTCTTTAATTTTTGATTTTTACTCCTGTTTTCATTGGCTATTATGTTTTATAGCAAATGTTTGATGGGAAAATAAGAAAATGGACAATGAATAGATTTATTTTGAAAAAAATTAATGGATTTATTGAGAGATTCTGCAATCCACTAAATAACAGGGTCTAATATAACATGTATCTCTTTTTATTTTTTACTAGAAGACTCATTATAGGGTTTTCAATAGCTCATTATGTATTTGCTGCATAAATATTCATTCAAACATTATCATCTCTTATCATTCTAGCCTTTTTAATATAAGGGAAACCTCATAGAGATAGATTAATTGATTAAATTGAAATTTTTAATGAGGGGGCTTATCTCTTTCAATAATATTTGTGCATTGCTTTTACTCCATTCCAGAGCAATAATGAAATTAAGGTAAATGCATCATGGATTTTTTGCGGTATGGTATTCTTTATTACATTTACTAATATTGCAGTCTATATTATTCTGATTATCACAGAATTTGTTAAGTACATAAGAAAAATATAATTAAGAAAAAGAATGCATTAAGTCTTAGAATTAACAGAGAGCAATATTTAATTTCAAAAACAATTAGTTTAAATTAAGACAGAAGGAGACTTATTTAAAAGCGAGAGTACTGAATTAAAAAATAGAGACATTAAAAGGGGTGAATTGAGATTTTAAAGAAAAGATATGCTTGCTTAAGATAATTTAGATGATGACATAGCTCTTGAAGAATGGCCAGATAATGAAAATTTAAAGATCAAAATAACAGATCTTGCTTAGAAGGATTAGATGAAGTAGTTTTCTAATCAATTGCTAAATAGTGATAAATATATATTAAAAAACATGAATAAAGAAAGGAATAGCTCTCCAAAAATAGTAAAGAATCAATTATTTAAACACCAAATTCTTATAAGTCATAAAATGATTGCTGAAAAAAATAAGAACAAAGAATCAAACTAATCAGGACAAATTTATCTCAACACGAATACTTAAATGATTAGCACTAATGAGATTTAAACTGAACAATCTGAAAAATTGAGACATAAAAACATTAGTTAATAGTTAGGATTTAGAAATGAAAGATAGAAATAATTAATGAAATCTATTACTATTAAAAATTAAAATGTTAAAATTAAACCGAAGAATAACTGAAAATTGGAATTCTTATGATTTAAGGAGGCTCTTTATAAACTCATAGTATTTAAGGATATATCATACATATTCTTAAGATTATAGAGGTTTTTCGAATAAAGAATTACCTAGGATATTAATTATTTTTATTTTTTATTTACGATCATTATTGATTACTAAATTTTCTGTATCAATTAGCCTTATGGGGTTTTGGGGTTTTGGGGAGAT